CCTCTCTCTGAAATGACCTATGATTGGCCAAAGTCTTCCGTCACAGGCTAGATTTTCTAAAGCCTGAAAACAAAGTCAAGTGCAAAAGTATAGTTCTCTCAAACCACTTGAAATACAATATGCTGACAGGTTATTATGGAAGTTCTGCACAATGACGCTGCCTACCACAGCTTTAATTAAATCATGGCATCCTGAAACAAAACTATTAAGAAAAAGAGGGGGAAATATTGCTTAAAAGAACAGAAGACCCTTCAACAAATCCTCTTATCAGCCTAAAGCAGGCGCACACATATGCTGACACACATGAACACAAAATGCAAGACAACAATGGTCAATTCCCTTGGCACCAATGACTCTGGTGATCAGTCTTCTATGCAGGTTTCTGCACATATACAGTTTGTGCATGTGATGAAAGAGAAAAGGTAGGAGCCTTGCACTGAAAATATATATACAGAATATATATAAAGTGTGTGTTAGTGTATTGCTCTTGAGGTGTGTGTTTCATTTTTATAATATAATATATCATTTCTCTACACGAGCAGACATGAATGACTTCTCTAAACACCTAAAGCAGGTGTCCATCCTCCTTTTACTTCTACTGCCTCTCTCCCATTGTATGTCATATTTTATCTTTTTTACTCCTTTCACTGAGACATTTCTCATATCCGGCTGGCTTTAGAGTCAATTCACTGCAGCAGTCAATCCGTTACACAGTGTAACTGGATAAATTACCACCAAGAGACAATAAACAATTAATTATAGTTGGCAAGGACGGCAAGAGGTCTTATCTTACTATCTCCATCTTGAAATTAAAAATGTCTCACAAAACCTACGCTAGTGAATCACGCTTTTGTGGTACACGGCAAAATTATTTGCAACTGCAATATAAAAGGCTGGCTATAACAGCAACTAGACTTGTCTGAAAGGCTGGTACACATTCCATACATTGCAGGGGTTTCAGATTCAGATCTCCTGCCTCTTGACTGAGCAAATGTAATAAACATGATCCTATAGTTTTGAGCTGGTTAATAATGAAAATATGAATGGGCCACATGTGACCACAGTGAGCGAATCTCTTGTGTGATTCAGCTCTTGAAATGCCATATGAAGAAAACCATATCAATGAATCATTCTCATCACCTCCCCTTGCAGACTGCTGAACCTTCCTGCCCCAAATATAACACACCATCATTTAAACACACTTTGGCTTGAGCCAGACACACCGGGTGCATTCAGCCGTTCAGTCATCAGGCAAAGGTTGCGCACCAAGTATGGTCCTTTGGTTGCCCTCCAATCCCCACCCTCCCCTTTCTCAGGCGGCCAGGCAGGGGCCGCCATATTTTATCCCCCTTGGGCGATTGTGTTATGTGCCTGTCTTGCCACTCCATCCATCACATTAACAGCGTTATGCCCGATTGGAGGACGAAGGGAGTCATAAACCGCGACTCACTCGTTGCCCTAACCCTGCCCGCTTGGCACCGAGCCGGGATATTTGGGGATGAAGGGATTGGAGGGCTGCGGCCGGGCTGAAGGGCGGCCAGGTCAGAGCCATCGGATTGAGGAATATGCTGGCACAGCAGCAGCGCTCCATCACACACAAACACACATGCTGCGGGGACATACGTCAGTGAAGCACATGGGGTGCATGCCGAAGCAGAACGCATGGCGCGCCACAGGCTCACTTTACTCAATTACACAACAGTCCTTTACCAACAGCATGTGAAGGACAATGCATTATAGGCTTTATATTGCCTTTTATGCGTGTGGAGGTAATGGATTAGGAGCTCTCCATTGCAGTTATTGGCTTTTCACTCATATGTTATACAAAGTCAGCATCTAAACACTCTACGTGACCATCCAGTCTGACTTTCAATATGTTGTGGTAATTTTGCGCTGACTTTGTTATATGCATTAGACATGCATGAAAAGATACAAATTGAGGATGAAGTCACAGAGCATGAAAGTTAACATATTACATAGAGAATCCAATATCAGCGACAAGATATTAATGAGGTTTGAGAAAAAGTTTATTGCACAAGCCCCAAGAAACAAATACATGTGTGAGCGTCGGAAAGAAGATTCAATTACAACTCTGACTTTAACGTCAACCATGGTGAGTCCCTCTTAAATACACACAAGAGTAGTGACATGCATGCACATGGGCACGTGAGAGGGGAGGTCCAAAGGCATCAGAGGTAAAGGTGAAGGAGGGATAAGGTTAGAGTTTTATAGTGCATCATTGACCCCAATCTAGTGTTTCTGCTCCACTGTTTGTGATGGATGGACACCGTGGTGTCAGGCAGAGCAAGAGGAGATTTACTCGACAATAAGAGAAAGGCAATATAGCGGGATAAAGAAAGAAATAAAACCGGATAAACTTAGAGAAAAGTAGCAGAGAGAGAAAGCGGAGGCAAAGAAAAACAGATGAGGTAGGAAGAAACAGAATAACATCTGAGAGGGGGAGCGAGAGTGATGGAACATAAATAAACAGAGGGAGAGGAAAGGAGAAGAGTTGGGCTGCAGTCTATGGTGACTGATCCTGCTGTGTAACAGAGTGATAAAGCTGGCTCAGCAACATCCCTCTCACATCTAACCTTCAGGGACCAGCGCGGCTCTGCTGTCTCCACTCTGCCTCCTCCACACTCTGTAAGAGCTCTGCTCTTCCCGACTCTCTTTATTCATGAGTGGCACTGACTCATTCAGAGCTTGTAGGAATGAATGAGGGTGAAACAGAAAGAGAAGAATGGCAGCAAAGAGCAGAAGAAGCGTGAATCAGAAGCATGATTACACAAAGGTGAAAGCCCAGGTGGCTGCTGATGCTTTTAAAATGGTGAATTAATCTTCACCTCAGCTTGTGTTGTGTCTTAAGGTGTGTGTGAGGTGTGAGACTACTTTGCCTCTCTTCTGTAGCTATATAGGGCTGCAACTAATGACTTTCCATTTCCAAATAATTTATATTATTCCTTTTTTTTTTTTTTTGTAACTGTTAAGTTCTCCTTTAAGTTCTCCTCAGTTTTCCATGATGGTGTCTTCAGAACCACCAATCCAAAACTCAAAGATAATTCACAATAAAACAGAGAAAAGCAGAATTTAAGAAGCATTTTGTTCAACGGTTGACCAATAGCCAAATATTTCAGCTTTATGGCTCGATCATCATTACAGACAATGAGATTTTATACCACAGCACCAATTTCACAGCTCAACTTGCAATGGCAAACTTCCCTTCCCTAAAAGACTGCGAGAAATGCAAGGAATTCTGGGATATACTGCACCCAGCTGCCTCCATAGTTTCCTTGGATGCGAATGGAATTTCAGACATAATAAAATGGCGTCTGCGGTGTGTCCCCCATCCCCCTCAACCTCTCCTGACCTTCTGCTCTTCTTACCCTTGAGTCAGAGCGGCGGAGAACGAAGGAAGAGAACACAAAGCCACCAGACCTGATGAGGAAGCACACTGCACCCTAATGAAAACAGCTTCCCGGTGGTCAAACTCATTAGCACAGATTCATGATTTGATTTAATTATGTGGACAAAATAAAAGGACAGGACTTTTACTGCCTCGTCAGAACACCACAGGGTTAAAAGGTTGAGAAGAATCATCAGTGTCAGTCAGACTGCCCTTTTATCAACTCCACACAAGCGGAAACTAAATTGAGTGCAATACGCGTATGAGAGCATGTTTATGTTTACATGCAGGCCATATGCAGTAAGTCACATTTGTTTGGGGATTTGTTTCTCTTGTCACTATCCTGCAATAAAGGCTGCTGAGGTATGAGCCTGGCGCTGTAATCCCTCTCCTCTCTCTGGCTAGAAACTTAGTTTCAATGAATTATGTAGTGCTCCACCTGGCTATTAGCCTACAAAGCTCAGTCAACCTCCAAACAAGCCTGGGAATGGATGCCAGCAACACAACAACCTTGGATTTGTATTCAAGTCATTACTCCGGAGCTGTCTAATCTCTAAAAGATGCAATCACATCTTCTCTGCATTAATCAAGATTTGATTTATGTAGCATTATGCGTCGCACATTATCTATTCACTCTGACATGGGATACTAATCGATTTTACCTGCTACGGGACAGAAAAATATCTAAATGAGCTATTCTGCTTATTTACTAACATATACTTTATAAAATACATCAGCACACACTTCAGAATTCTGACACGCTGCACTGTACAGTCCAGCTCAATGCCTAAAGCTCTTTGGAAAGTGGAGCTGTGGGAGACAGCTGTATGATAGATGATCTATGCAGTGGCTGCTGTTGGAAACCAAAAGAGAGGGACAGTGCTCTATGTATCCCTGTGTTATGGGGATCTATTCAGTCATGTGACCTTCCCCAGCTGAGAGACAAGAGGAGGAAAAAAAGACAATGAAATAGGGGAATGACGGCATTGTCATGGCGACTTGCTGACATAGCAGTGTCTTCTTACAAGTCCTAACCTTACAGTTTTACCCAGAGGGCATGCATAGGGACTGTGGCCTCTCTCTCACGCACACGCACACGCACAGTTAAGGACTGTGCGACAAACTGCATGATCCTGCATGAGTTAGATGATACCCATACACAACCAGAACGCAAAAGGCATGTTTGCTCTAAATCCATTAGCAGTTAATATGAACGCATCATATTCATATTTTACGTTATAAATTGTCCAAATATGAAGGTAAACACAGTACATAATGGCACTGCGCTCTACTCAAATTGGAGGCTGCAGATTTATCAACATAGGTCCTGCTGCCTTCAGGTGTCTGCAGGGGTTTAATAAACAGATGCTGGACAACAGATACTATAACAAACACTAATATTAATGCACATATAGATGCAGAAGCACTGCCAAGTTGCGCTGGTCACCGCGCCAGTATAAAAAGTACGGCCCATAGTGTTACATCAACTAATTGTCCATACCGTAAGTAAGTACAAATTCTCATTCATAGCCAAGGGAGAGGAGTTGTCTTTGCGGTATTGAGTGTGTTCCTGCATTAAGCATCAAATGAACTAAAAGGTCTATATGGGTAGTTGTACAAGTGCTTCCTATAGAACAAGAACAGTCTGGGAGGTGTAAATGAGATGTAAATGAAGAGAGAGGTTGTGAGGGGGCGTTTACAGAAAAAAGACCAGGGAAAGTTGAAGTAGAAGTAGGTAGTAGAGGTTACAGCCAACAGTGTCAACTCTACAGTCAATGTCTTTAACAACACTATAAGAAAAAAAGGCAGAAAAGAGGACAATCTAATCTACTCATGCATACATTACAGCTTCGTATAGATGTAACATTTAGTAGTACTAGCAGTCTACAAAAGCAGTGAAGGCGTCCCACTGGCAGAACAGTGGGTGGTAAAAGGCTGAGATAAGTATGACATTCAGATCATACCTTGTAGAATATTTGAATGGATCAAATACAGTAAAGAACTTTGATCCTGGTGTTCAGTCAGTACAGGCTGGTACAGACCAAGAGTCAAGAGCCTGACATGACTTAACAGCAACATCAAAGCCTTTTCCTACTTGAAAATTAATATTCAAGCCACCCATCAGGCTTTGGTACCACTTTACCTCTAGGCATTACTGTTATAAACCCCTTAAGCAAAGACATGACGAGTCACAAGGGGCGCAAAGAACTTGATCGGCATCGTGGGTCTGCCTTTCCCATCGCTTCCCCCTGCTATGGTATTCTGTATAGCAAACTATGACCCCGTGACCTTGTCGCTCTTCCAGATGCAGGTCATGTGATGATGAGGTGACTGATGATGGATGGTGCAGAGGTCAGACACACAATAAGGGCAGGTGAAGATCCAATTCATAAATCGACTGTACATGCTTCACTGGATTGCTTTTGTGTCCTCTTTTGTTATACTCACTGCAGGAGAGTAATGCCCAAATATTTGTCATTGTGCAGGATAAGCCCAAACAATACACTAATAAAAAGGTCCATGCAACCTACTACTTTTCCATGCAGGGGTTCCCCAGGCTCACTTTGCTAAATCAAATATTTAGAAAATGAGAGAAAAGAGAATGGAGGGTTTTTCTCTATTTCTAGCTGCTCCCCAGCTGCAGGAGGGAGGCTACGGTACAGTAGTCAGCCTGCCAGGGAGGCCACGCTTCTGCCAGCCATGAACATGTGCTTCTTTATTCATTGATATCAGGCAAAACAAAAGCAACCCAGCATAACGATGTGCAGGCATAATTCAGCTAGTCCACACAAAAGAATTTTGTTGTAGCAGTCACCTTCACCACCACTTTAGTTTCTAGCATGCAAGGCTTTTCTGAGGGACCCCAAACACACATCTTTTGCAGTAAAAAAAAAAAAAAAAAAAAACTTTTGTGTGCGTAAGAGGGGTCACGGATCCCACCTCTGACACCAAATTACCATTTTCTGCTGATTCTGATGCTGGCCTAAGGGTTCTAGACATGCACGGACAGCAAAAGACCACAAATCTGCTGCTGCAGATGTCAACCAGAATCCACTCAAGGGGCAGAAGGGGCTGGGAGAGTATGGCTGGATGTGAAGAAATCTAAATGTCAAAGTGGCAAAAATGAATGAGTGGGAACATGGTGGTGGAAGGAGAACCGAGCCAGCGATGCACATCAGGTCAGTCCAAGCCTACTCACGCTTCTGTGCTGCATTAAAATATGTGACTGGGACTCTAAATCCATCACTGTCAGATGGACAAATGTCTGTTTGGGACAAAAGATTTAGAGCACGCTTTTGGAATCAAATTTGATCATGTGGGGGTTCCTTTTGAAAATCTTTTGAGATTTAAGTTGAATGAAACAATGTGTTTGTTCGTGACTTACACGTTGTATGCCGATCAATACTGATGGTGATACTTGGTTGCAAAAGTAGATTTTTTTTTCTTTCCCCACCTCTATAGTAGAGGTTGAATGCACATATCTCTGACTGATGCGGAAAGCTCAACCAAGGCTCATTTATTGTTCTCAGTGAAAGTCTGTTGTAAGGTAAACCTGATAAAGCCTGTGGCAAACAGCACTGTACGCAGTTGCACTTGTTATTTTCACACGAACTACAGAAGGTTGTTGATACGAGCGAGTGATGATTCACTTTTGATGTTAGTGTCATATTAAATTAAAAAGGGTTTTTTTGTGAATGCTATGCACAAAGCAATCCTAGTTTGTTGTCAGGTTAGTACGGAGGAGAAAAGTTCCCAACATCAATGCCAACGTTATAAAGCCTTATTTATTAGACAGTTGGAAATCTATTTCACTCTCTTTCTTCCTCACAACCTCCCCTTGTGACAAGCCAATCAAATCAACACAGCTCTCTTTAACTGCCTTAGTGATGGAATGTCATTCAAAAGGCACAGACCAAGAGAAATATCATCATTCCTTTATGCCTCCTCCCTTTCGTATTACTTCACTGTCTAAAATTTCTCAGAAGTCTTTCACAGGCTGCCACATCTAGTGAATCCTTTTGCCCTCTACTTAATTTTCTAATCCATCATCTTTTGTGGATTTCCCGCCTAATCCATCTTTCTTTGAGATTTTTACTCCCATTCCTTTTTCATAATTTCAGCATACACACAATCTTTAGTTCATCCTAAACTACCTGCTTATAACAAACGATTGGAGTGGGCAGTTTCAAACATTTTCCGGCAATAAAATCACTTTTTTTAAAACGAGTCCAGGTCTGTATGTACCTTGGAAATGTACAGAACATGATGCACAGGCAGGGCAACAGGCAGGAACACAAAGTCTGCTGTTGAGCTTGTTATTTTTTTCCCACTTTCTGGCCGAGCTGTTAGGTCAACAAATTGCTATTCTAGGTTAGGATTAGTCACCAGATTTGTGAGATTAGGGGTATATTTAAGGTTTAAAAGGCCTTTCTAGGTGAAACTTGTTTACAGCCTGGTCAAACAGTCATTATGGGACAACTGGGCATTTACCTCCATTACTTGACATAAACGTGCAGTTATTATGCCTTCTGTCAGAACTGTGCGTCATCCAGCCAATCTGAGGAGATCCTTACATTACCTCTTTTCAATAACTCTTGCTAGATCACAAACACTAGTGGAGTGCTCTCAATGCAGTGTCCAACACAGTAAGTCTGTTACCACTCTGTGTGTTTGTCTATGCATCGATAATGTTCCAGCATTTGAGAGTTTGGCAGATAATCTTTCAGCTGATGAGCGGCCATGACTGGCACAACTGTGCTGGGTGTATAACCACATTGTAGTAGTAAGCATGGAGGCTTAGGTGTTACTTTGCCACAAGCTTGCACCTGCAGCTTTTCAGCCGGTCTACTTCACAGACATGGCACAACAATCTGGTTCATGGTGTTAAAAGCGATGCCGCCGCCCCCCCCGCCCAATCTTCTGCTGCTGCCAAGAACTTGGCCGATTCATCAGTACATCCTCCTCTTTCTTCCGATTCCTGCACCGACTACTCCTCAAGAGGAAAATAAAAAAGACAGAATGCAGATTCCAGATCTACAGAGCTTGAAAAACAAAGTGAAAGTTCATACACAAAGTCACAACTCCTTATAGCTTAGCTCATGCTTTGTATTCAAGAAAACATATCTATTAGCCAGGATACCAAAGCAAATGCTTAACCATATTTATTTATATATGCCTGTAAAGTGTTTGTCCTGCGTGAGGTCCATTGCCTTGGCAACAGTTCGAAAATTGGACAGAAGCATAAAAGACTAAAACATATAAAGAGCTGAGGTTACGTGATCTTACCATACACCTGTAATACTTTAATGTTCATGTCAACATATTTACTGTGGCAGAACACTCAGCGAATAGAGTCACAACATAGTGATAGTGATCATATTCATATCCATTCATACTGTTTGGTGTTAACACAGGTAGGAAAAAGAACTTTCTATACTGTTCTACAGCAGAGGCGCCTCTTACACACTGTGACAGCAGAGTATGAAGCCAGTCTTGGCGTTGATGGGTCAGACTTCACTGCAGTCTCGTCACACAGGCACATATGTTCAAATGTCACTGCATGCTTGCAGAAAAACCAAGTGTACGATCTGCAACACAAAACCCTGCCTCCTGCAAACACTTGTGCTTGCTCCCAACAACCCCCAAAGCCACCAAACCTCACCCACCCCCCCGAACTGCAGGTGCGCGCACACACACATATGCGCACAGACACCCCCTGTGCAAGCACCCTGCCAGCTCTCAACAGCTGCTCTCTCACCATTCACACCCCTAAACAACTAAGCCCCCAAAATGTAAAACGCACAGGAACAAAAGCCAAAAAGAAAATTTGCATTAGAGCGGCAGGCTTTGGAAAATTATTAGAAAGTATCTGTGTCTGGCTATTAAAAGAATCTTACTTAAATATATTAACAATAACTGTTAGACGCCATTTTTTACTCAGCTAACATCAGTGGACGACTCTTGTCACAACAATGTCCCTCCAATGAGCTGTATCACAGTTACATGTTAGCCTATTAGCCTGCATTATATAATGCACAACCAGCTACATTTAGTGGCATAATACAGGCTGGCAGAGCCGTTAAGATAAACAGATGAATGTGCACAGCAAAATTCACCCCCGGTCCGTACGCTTGTCAGGCTACATTTTTGGTTTTAGTACATTATTTTCCAGCACATCCTTGAGTGTGTGTGCGCGTGTGTGTGTGTGTGTGTGTGTGTGTAGCAACGATCCCACAGGGAGAGGTCAAAAAACATTTAGTGCCATCCATCCCCCTTAGAGTGGGCTCCTGTCCCTCCAGGAGGCTCAACACAGATGGGTCGGCTATGTGCAGCCAGCACAGTAGAGTAACAGCTGAAGGTCAGAAGGGGACAAATGCCAATTTTAAAAAGGAGGACACCCAGTGTGTACAAATGTTAATAAACACATATATAATACAAGAAGTACTCTAGTACTCTAGTGAGAAAATCTATTTAATGTCCATATAGAGAACATTATTTCTGAATAATAGCACTTTATTTCCCACATACCCATGCTCTTACACTTATGTAAATTCCATTAACACTTCACCCTCCAGCAGCCTTCGCTCCCTCATTCTCCATCTCTGCAGCACAGGGGTCAAGGAGAACAATAGTTAGTCCACAGCTCTGAGGGCATAACACTAGAATGGAGGAAGATTTTTTTTTTTTTTCCATCTTTGTAACAACACTCCTGAGTCCTGACAACACCCTAAAGGCTGAATCAACTTGAAGGGGTGACTGAGCTGAGCAGATAAGATGCACAATATAGAGAGAGAGAGGAACGTAACTCAGCTTGACGTGGATGCACAGGCTGTCTCTGTAACTATTTGATCGAGAGAGAGAGAGTTGACGCAGGTCAGATAAGTCGAATCCCAAAGCAGCTCAGTCGGAGTTTCTGGCTTTTTGGGAATCCAGTGCTTGATAGCAACAGTACCCTGTGTGCTGATCACAGGACATACAGTACCCCTGGCAACAGATAAACATCTGGTAATTATTGACAACAACTCATTTCCTGACTGAACAAAAACAGGCAAAGGAAGGGCATGTTTCTCTTCACAATGCTGATTAGTTTAATCAGAGAAAATACACAGAGAGGCTGCAGGTTTTTGAGTGCTTTCAGGCAGCAGAGATGAAAAGGCAAAGGACCTCTGAAGTGAAGTGGCCTCTTGTTTTTTATTACTGGCCATAAAACACTTTCAGGGAAGAACCAGATCAGAGAAGAAGCAGTATTAAAGCTATCTAGATAGACTATTAAAGGAGAAAAACATATGGAAGTACGGAAGTCACATTTTTATCAGTTAGATGTGAATCGGATTCATTTGTGAATGAGGCACTGTAATTTGTCCAAATTCACATATGCCATCCAGTTTGAACATTCAATAATTAAGGTTCATGGCTTTGTGGGTGGTGTGGAAGTGTCCTTTGCTTTGCAGTTATGATATAACATCTGGCCAAACACATAAGCCACTAAGCCATGCAGTTAATCAATGCGAAAATCTGAATACTTCATTTTTCAAGCCAATCCCTGATGCATACATTTCACAAAACAATGCCCTACAGTGTTTCCGTGCAATGACAATTAAAGCACTTCAAATCTATTTCAGGACATCATTCAATTTTAACCCGAGCCAACAAGAGCCAGGGATCAAGGAGGATTTGGAGGAACAACATGGACCAAAGAGCCAGCAAGAACAAAGGAAAAAATGTCCATTTATTTCCCACATAGCTGAAAACAAAAGGTCTCTTAGCATTCCTGCAATCACAAAAAAAAAAAAAAAACAACCTCTGTGGCATTTCCCCAGGAACCTTCCCACACTGTCAAAACAACCCGGCCACAACACTGAAAAATGGCCAGAAGTCACTGGCCAATGAGGTTGAGCGATGACCACACTAAAGTTGTTGTGGTTAAGACCCCTGTGTCTGGAAACAAACAGACTCCCACACTTGCCTGAACCTTCTATGCCTCATTCCATCACTCCTACTCTTCCTGCTTACTGACTAAAGTGAGAATTGTCTGAGAGGAGTGCAGGTTGGTGGAGATAAGAAAAACAACATTAAAAAAGATTTTGAAGCACAGACAGAACTGTCAGTGGCGCAGGATCAGCCTCAGAAGGGTCAGCGGTTCACAGGGGAGTTGTAGTAATAGTAATAGTCAGAGCTGGCAGCCCGGCAGTCTGCAGCTAAAAAGGTCGCCTGCTGCTGAGTAACCCTGAGGGCTTGTGTGTCCAACAGGACTGAGTGGAGGGAGAGGGGGCAGAGATATTTAAAACCTCCTTGAGAATAAGCCAAGGGGACAGTGATGAAACAGGACCAGGGTTCTTTCTATATGTGTGCCAGCCTCTGACGGGGCCAAATGTGTACCCTAACCAATCCTGAAATGTGATCCGTCGGCCTGGAGTGGCAGGGAGTGGCAGGGAGAAGGCCGGGTCCTCTGGGGACTTGTGTGTTTGCCTCTGTGTGTGCACAATCTGCATTTGCTTTGGCTGCTAAGCAGAACAGGACACACAATTTAATGAAATTGACTGAGCGAGCACAGAAAGGGACGTGCGGGGGCCATGACTGATAATCCTCAGAGTCACAAAAAATAAAAACGCTGAGGTATGACTGTAAACTCATTGTTCATTCCTGTTTTTTCTTCTCTAATCTGGTGGGGGCAGATACTACACACACAAAACACACCTCAGGAGAAAGACTGAGAGCAACTGTTCTTTCTAAATTTGTCAGGGGGAGAGAGCAGAGAACACACCCCTTGTGCTTACGCTAGCATGAGAGTGTGCGTCTGTGTGTATCAGAGAGTGCAGACAGGACCAGTGTTCAGGCTGTCCCTGCAGGGTGTTAAAGATCATCTCTTCCTAAACTGAGCACCACCCCTTTTCCTCCTCCTCCTCTTCAGTAAATAAGCAGGCCTCTACAGTCCCACTGTGTCAAGCCGGGGCTACATCAGATGCCCTTGGGTTTTCTAACAAAACATTAATAATACATGAGCACCAATAACACATACCAGTATGTTAGTTTCAGAGTCATCTGCAGTGCAAAGTAGTTAATGCAGAGGTAGTGGGACTCTGTCGGCCAGGAGGAATCAATTAACCTTATCCTGCATGTAGAGCGGGTGGTTACATGCATATTGGTATGCAAAGAGGCTGCAAAGTCTAGACAATAAAAAGGCAATAAAAGAACAACAGTGCTTAAACAAAGGGTTATGGTTACAGTTGGAACCTAGGCCTTCCAGGCTATAAAAGCTGACACAGGTGCTAAATTAAATTGTTTTTAAGTCAGTTTCTTACATGGACTCCTCCTCTGGAAAGTAATGTGGACACACAGACAACAATCTAATCAGAGCTGACCTCTCCATTCGTCCCACATCAATAACAGCTCCTCAGCATCATTAGCTTGTAAATCACAGAGTCGCTGTCAGTGCGGAAAAAGAAAATAACCCGCCTCGTCTCATAACTGGAGGTCACAGCTATTGTCCAAGAGAATGGATCAACAGTTCAATGAGGAGAATCACAATTATTGATCATTTAGATTTGTGGGTCATTGTGTTGCCAAACCAGATGGATATGCTGACAGAGACTGGAGGCATTTAGAAACAGCAGAGGCTACAACAAAAGCTGGGCGGTGTTTTAAATGAGTTCGCTTCCAGTTGAACCTTTACTAGAAGAACAGAAACCTCATCTAATGCAACGAGCCACCTTCACACAAGATGGAGCACCTTCTAAGAGAAAGGCAAAGACAAACGTTCTCCATAGTAACACCAAGAATGGTATGTTGTAACTCAGAGCAGAAAGAGAGAAAAGACTGATTAAAGAGGCAGAAATGTGCACACTGTGGCTACTCCTACACTCGAGCCACCAGTTCTTATCTTTATATTCTCTAGTTGAGTACTATATAACCAAAAAAAAAAATCCAACTAGCTATACCCTAATTTCACTATTTATTCACAATGTGGAGTAAAGGTTCCGATGCTGTGCCCGTTACATTACCATAGCGATGTGGGGCCAGAGCTGGGAAATGGGGTGACAGGTCAGAGGGAATGCCCCACTGTGTATGCATGCATAAACAAAGATAACATATCCTGACAAAAAGACACACACACACTCTCTCTTTCTCTCCCTCCAAGGGCACCAGAAGTACCCCTCAGTGTATACCGCATTGTCCTACAAAAGCAAGGAACTCCTCCCCTCTGAGCCACTGTAAATTGAGATGGGGTTTACATTAATGGGTTTGGGGGAGAAAAAAAACACCTCGAGGTAAGTGCAGGGGAAGTCTCCTTGAGATATGGGTAGCCTACATCTCCACAAAATTTGGCAAAACATGGAAATGAACAGGTTTTATAGTACTAATTACCCCTCAGGAGAAAGGGGGATGGGTAGAGGTTAAAAAAATAACATTTCAATGTTAATTCTTGCCCAATAATAACTTTTTGTCTGAGCTTTGAAAAGGTGAAATAAAGAATCCCGATGTCTCAGGATGAATTCTATTAAAGTCAGCACCACCTGGACTCATGCACCAAATACTACAAATGCCTCAGAATGTCACAGATAAAACTCAAGCCCAGTTACCATGGTTATTGTGAGCAGCTGAAATATAACTCAAGGACATTTTCCCCAGTATATGCTCCCTCTAACATGTCAGAACATGTCTCTTGCCTTCCCAGACAATGCTTTGCTGGAACAAAACAGATCATGCGTCTGCGTTTCCTCTGAAAATATCCATCAAGGTCACCTGAGCAAGTGCTGCTTTTGATGGATCTCTGTACAAGGAGGATGTCTTGACCGCAATGACTCAATGAGCCTTACGAGCCCTGATGCATTCGCTCCAGACTGGCGTGCCAAGGTGAGGGCACAGCAAGTGTGTGTTTGAGGTTGTTTTCCCCTTGTTTTTCAATAGCTATGCTGCATTGGCTCCTTGTGACGCAGGGATGTGATCAATACTGAGTCTCGAGGGTAGCGGAGCAGGCAGCGAAAGGACTCGACAGCGAATGTGCTCCATAGGGTGTGTAATGTTGTGATCAAGGACTGGTGTCAGCACTATGGCTAATGCTGTGCAACCATCTCTGTGTTGTTTTTTTGTCCAACAGAGTGCATGTATAGTCACAGTACACGTGCATACAACTCACCCACTGAAACAATTAATCAGTCAGTTAGCGGATCAAGCAAAATTTAACACTTACAATCGATCAGTCGTTAGTTATTTATCAAGCAAAAATACATTAAGGAAGATTATGTAATTGCAAAGTGAATCATTTGGGGGTTTTGGTCTGTTAAGTGGGACAAATTGAAGATGTCGCCCTGGGGTTTGTGAGCCTGTGAGGGCCATTTTTCAATTTCAGTTTCTGACATTTTATAATGTAGACAATTTGACAATTAAAAATCTAATCAGTAGATTAACTGACGATGAAAATAATCATTAGATGCAGCCCTACACACAGGACAGTGGGACAGTGACCATCTGTGTAAGACACTGCACCAGATTGAGGGGTGCCCCATGTCCCACTAACCCAACTACAGTGCGCAGACAGACAGGAGGCTTACTTGCGCAATCATAAAGTCATCTATGTGCTATGTGGAGTATGTGGCATGTATGTACAGGCAATCATTCCGAGCAAAAACCATTAAGGCCAGCAGAGCCTCAGCATATCAGATGAAAAGGATACCTGTGCAGAATTGTACGGATGATTCGGGAAGGAATACAGCAGACAATCTGCTAACACTTAAAATACAACAGAAACTTGTCTTTTCTGGCTAAACATGAGAGCACATGAGAGAGAGTTGGTTTACTGTTGCCAGCGTTCTGTGCAACACACAAGCCGGAGGATACAGCAGTATCATACATTCACACACACACACACA